ATATATATATATATATATATATATATATATATATGTACTGTATGTGTGTGTGTGTGTGTGTGTATTTAATGCGCTGGTGGTTTTGTGTATAACCCTTCTGCTAGCTTTCTTTGCAGTGTTTCCCGGGACCTGTGTGTTTCTGTCCTTTTTCTAGGGTAGGTCCTCGGTGAGCACCCCCTCTGCTGGATTCAGAAACCAGGTGCTCGACTTGCAGTGTTTATTTCACTCGTTGATATATGTCCCGACGTTACGATAAGCCGGGTTTCGGCTTCGTACTTTCTGGATCATGCGGCCAGGTCACAGGCTTCTGCGGGAGCCTTCTTGATCATCAGGCCCCTGGCACGGCACTGCATAAAAAAATCCTGGACGTCCGGGCTGAGCGTATGCTTTCAGGCCATATCTAGGTTGCCCCTGAGGGGCCTCCCAATCACCAGGATATCCCCTCTTGCTGAGGCATCGAGCGGGAAGTATAGGTGGCATTTGCGAGAACCTTCTTGTGTAATGCTGTCTCAGGCAGTGCTCCCCTCACCTTAGAGGGTTGTATTTGAGCTTGCCTCTCCCGTTTGGCCCAGTACTTCCGGGTATCTGTGAGCAGATGCTTGGAAAACTCTTAAATCCATACTATGGTAAGGGCACACGTTAAGCTTTGCGCACTTTCTAAGAATCCAAATAAGTGGTAAGTGTGCACGTTATGCACAGGCCAAGACTTAGTATGATTCTAGGCTCTTGGTCGTATTCCCTTAAAGGAATCTATCCTGATTCCAAGCCTTGAGCTCTACCCCAGGCCCAGGATTTTTGGCCCTAACAGGTAAGTTTTTTCGGGGGGAATGTAGCCTAGGCCTTTGGCCATAGGGAATAATGTCACTGACAGCCGTATAACGTCCATAGCAACGCGATACTTCCGGTTTCCTTTTCCGCCTGTCCTACAAAGGCCGTCTCGTTTAATTCTAGGTTGAGGACACTTCCTATATGCATCCTACAGAGGATGCGACCTCCAGAGGATTCGACCTCCGGAGGGTGCAGCCTTCTAAATGAGACACAGCTATTGTATGCTTCAGACACGGGTCACGATGAGGCATTTCCCATAGCGATCCCTAGAGGACGCAGTGTCTCGTTCCCTACTCAGGGAACCATGGTTACATACCTAACCTGAGACGTTTTGGATTTACGGTATGGTTTTATAGGAGGTGTGCATATAGTATGGGACGTGCCATATACAAACTGATTATTGGTCTTTATAGCCCTCTTAAGTGCAATAATGTCCCTCAAAAACGCTGCAGTAAAATGTTTTTATATGAGTTGTGCGTATAGTATGGAACTTCCCATATACAAACTTATTATTGGTTTTCTCCACTGATTAGAAATGGGGTCTTTATAGCCCTCTAAAGTGTAATAATGTGTCATATCTAAAAAATGCTGCAGTAAAATGGTTTCAAATGAGGTGTGCATGTAGTATGGGACGTCCCATATACAAATTGACCATTCATTTGTTCTGCTTATTAGAAATGGGGTATTTATAGCCCTCTAAATCGAATAATGTCCCATGTCTCTTTTTTTCTACAAATCCTGTTATGATCTGAAAGGTAGAAAAATATATTAACACAAAATCGCCAAAGACACCAATAAATAACACGCATATTAAAGCAGAAGTACAAAAAAAATCTCGAGAAATGTCATCTTGTTCATCATCATCGTCTTAATGAAAAGCGCGTTCTCTCTGTTGTTCCTGTATAGAGTAACACGCGCGCACGCTAATTTCAATCGCGGCTGGCTTCACCGCAGTGAGGGGCAATGATGAGATGATGCTTATGCTATTATGTTGCTTGCTAGCTGTCTTGTTCATATGGTCATATTCACAATGTTAATTGATGACGAATACATGAAGGAAAGATATCCTTTAGGCCTACTAATAAAAAAAATAATTAATGCTCCATCTCTCGCTCTTATTGTTTTAAAAGGCTACATGCCATAAACGCTATATTTATAAAATAACTCCACATATTCATAAACAGTTTTGCTGGGAAAAAAAGGTGGCACATGGTGAGAGACATTTCTGATTGGTTTGTAGTTTTCAGCGCATCCTTATGGTGCTATCAAAACTTGCACATTTTCTTAAAAGCAGCACAAAAAATCTGGATGTATTAAGATGTATTTTGGTCGATGCATCACAAGAACCTCGCTAAATACATGTGTAAATGCAATTCAATTTACATTGTCCACTTTCAACCACTGGAGGCTGTCGACATTGACTGCATTTGTGATGAAAACGCTCAAGTGCTCAAATGTGTTTTTACAGCTAAGGACCACCTACTCACTCAACATGTAATTATTGTGGGGAAACGTGCCAAAGAATGTATTATATGTTTGCCTTTTGTAATTGCAAGAGAAATAAGTGACCTGGTTGGTGCGCCATCCCTCAGTCTATCAAGATTGCATATGTGCTAAAAATAAATTAAGGTCACACTAGATATTCATAAGGAAATAGATAATAGTTCAGAACAGAAATCTCTTGCCTGCAAGAATCAGGGCTGAGCTGTGGTAAAGAATGCAGTAAATCATGTAGAATGTGGTGTGACTGCTCACATAACATGCACTGATAGTTCAAGCAATGTCTCTTTAGCTGTGTCTGCGAGAAAAACTAAATAGTAATTCTATTAGGGGAAGCTCATTTGCCCAGCTCACTATTTTCCCACGCATGCACTGCAGGAAACCTTTTTATTTTGTATACTGTCTTGTCATGAAGGATGCGATCAGGCAGTCTAACATGGGGGAGGGTAGAGAGAGCAAGCATCTCATGCAGGGATGCAGCAAGCATCTGATTGGCTGCATATATACACGACATCAGAACTGGAGAAAGCAGAGAGGAGAGGAAACACTGCGACGCAAGGAGGGATCCCAGCATCTCACTTCGCTGGGTATTCAGTCCTGAGCTTCTCCCGCTGGGGCAAATCCCCTAAATCCCACATCTATTTCTAAAGCAGCGCTACTCCTCTAGTCTCTTTAGCCATGAATTACCTGCGCCGGCGTCTGTCGGACAGCACCTTTATCTCCAACCTGCCTAATGGCTACATGTCAGACCTGCAGAAACCTGATCTTCCTCAGCCTCCCCCTCCTGGACCAGCCTCAGGACCAGCTCCAGTGTCCCCGGGCCAGGAGAGAAACCCCATCCAACCGCAGCCTCTGGGCACGGGATTCTTCAGCTCCATCACCAGTGTGGTGAAGCAGACGGCCGCCTCAGCAGGGCTGGTGGAGCAAACGCCTGTGCCTGCATCATCCAAGAGACACAAGCTCCTGCTGGTCATCGATGAACCACAACAGGACTGGTGAGAGCAATGATTTTCACTTGAGCTCCTCGATAAGGTTGATTTTTCTAACCTGGCTGTTTGGCTTCTCCGCTTTTTAAAATCCTTATCTGTTGAGTTATTCAGTGCTAAGCGTAGTGTTGTCAAACGATTAATCGCATCCAAAATAAAAGTTTTTGTTACTCCTCCTCAGCCTCCCCCTCCCGGACCAACCTCAGGACTAGCTCCAGTGTCCCCGTGCCAGGAGAGAAACCCCATCCAACCGCAGCCTCTGGGCACGGGATTCTTCAGCTCCATCACCAGTGTGGTGAAGCAGACGGCCGCCTCAGCAGGGCTGGTGGAGCAAACGCCTGTGCCTGCATCATCCAAGAGACACAAGCTCCTGCTGGTCATCGATGAACCACAACAGGACTGGTGAGAGCAATGATTTTCACTTGAGCTCCTCGATAAGGTTGATTTTTCTAACCTGGCTGTTTGGCTTCTCCGCTTTTTAAAATCCTTATCTGTTGAGTTATTCAGTGCTAAGCGTAGTGTTGTCAAACGATTAATCGCATCCAAAATAAAAGTTTTTGTTACTTAATATATGTGTGCTGTGTATATTTATTATGTATATATAAATACACACACATGCATGTATATATTTCAGAAACATATGTTATGTTTATATATTAAATATATTTATTTATAATATAAATTATATGAATATAAATATAGACATGCAAATAAATGTAAATACTTTCAAAAAATATACTGTATGTGTGTGTATTTATATGCATAATAAATATACACAGAACACACATATATTATGCAAAAAAAACTTTTATTTTGGATGCGATTAATTGCAATTAATCGTTTGACATCACTAGTTAAGCATAATCATTTAATTTTGTTTTGGTGGAAATAAAAAACAAGAAGATATAGTAAATGCCCACTTTAATAATTGACATCTTTCGTTCACATGCTTCATGCTGTTATAAATCTTAGGTCTCACTGATCTACATGCATAAAGTGTGTTTGATTTGTAATGATATTTCACTTACTCACTCACGCAAGATGACAATGTAACACATAACACAGAGATTATTTAGAAAGTAATAGTGAATTATTAATATACATGTAAAAGAATATGGGTGAATCTCAGCAGCAGGAATATCTGAAGAATTTCCAGACTTTAGAAAAATCAGGTGGACTCTGCAAATTGATGACAATAATGTCATATCTGTTCGATCCTCAATTTCCTTGGTCTTTTGCTCAACGGATTAGTGTGAGGAGTAAATGCATGCTAATTATCCTTTAAATCCACATTTGTAATAGCATGCAGAAGAAATGGTCAAATATTGTTTAGTCTTGCAGAATGTATGCTGTTAATTTGTGTGCTAAAAAGAATGAAGATTTTTGCGATACAGTGTATGTCAAAGATATTATGGATATTACAGTATAATATCAAAGAGTATATGTTTAGAGACAGACAAACTGGCTGACTGATTGCTTTCTAGCTGCTTTGAGATGTCACATATCATATCATATTTTTATGGTTAGTGTAAATAATCCTGTCTGAATCAAAGCTCCCAAAACATGTAATAACATATAATGCAGATAAAGATATATATTAAATACATTTTATGTTTAAAGGGTCTGCTATTAATATGTTAATAATATGGATTTTATTCAATTAAATTTTGCTGACATGCGTATAACCTTTAGAAAATGATTTTATTAGAGAAATGGTTGAATAATGTGTAAATAAAATACATGTGCTTAGTTCAGAATAATTTGGGATTAAATGGGTCACTAATATCCACAATAAGTGACCATTGGTTTACGTGTTTGCTCCACCGTTTTACAGTAATAACTCCTGTCTGAAGGAGGTCTGTTGTGTTATGGTTTGTGTGGTGAAGATTAGACTACAATTTTAAGCCCTTTAACATCAATACATTGACATCTTGAAATTAATAAGTGCAGTAAGTTAACATTTTGTATTTGACATCTTATAGCCTTGTCTACATTACGATAATTAGATTAAACATTAAAATGCTTTCAACTTTCTTATATATTAGGATATAACCCAAACATTCTACAGTGTAAAAAATTACCTTTAATTTAACGGTAAAAGACTGTAAAAATGCTACAATAAAAACCTGTTAAATGGTTAACGGTAAATTCCCCAACTATATACGGTGAAAAACTGTATTGGACATTACATGTAATTTTACGGTATTATACCATTTTTGGAAGTATAATTACCGTATAATTTACAGTGAATAACCGTAAATTGACATTCCCAGAATTTTTTTGCATTACATTTCAAATTGGATATTTTTTGTTGTTGAAATAACCATGTTTCTTCTTAATTTTTTTCTTATCAGTTTTGTATATTAGGATTGTGTGTTACACCTAATGTTGTTAAATGAATGTCTATTGCATTATTTCAGTTTCATGTGTGTTACCGTGATGGTGTTTAGTGTTTGTGTGAATGGCACTGTGCACCTTCTATATATGTTATTATTTAAAAGCTGCTTGTGATGGGTTTTGGTTCATCATGTGACTTTCTCATTACAACCTGCATTTGGGGGTTATCAGAGTATTACAAAGGTACAAAACAGATTTCAGTACTTCAATAGGTTGGGATAATAATATTATATCAGTTAATGAAATTATGGTATTTAACTGTAAATGTAAGTTAAAACCGTAACACCTAAAATGTTGCTACCGTATTTTTTACAGTAAAATTCTGGCAAACACAGCTACTGTTTTTTTTATCGTAAATTTTTACAGATTTTTTACAGTGTATTTATATACAGTATAATATACTGTCATTTAAACTGTGATGTTGTTAGCAATATAACCTTCACTACACAGTACCTTTTACAACACACATTAATAGCAAAATTTCAGTCCGGCCCTGAATCCATAGCATCCGTCAGCAGAGGAACCGTCCCAAAAATTAGTGCACTGCACTGCATGACACTGTTGGTGAAATGTGGAATTACTAACAAGACGTTTAAACTCCACTGGTCTGAATTATAGCTCTTCATGTTACTAGCACAGCAACCTCAATCCAGTTTGGTGGCAATTTTGGCACTGCAGCTCTATAATACAGTTAAATCAACCTATTTTGAGCATATTACAACATATGTAACATATACGTTGACAGAATTTATTTTGTCATTAAAAATAAATGATCATAATCATTTACATCGTGTGTGTCCTGATATTCCCTACATGATGTTGATCAAATGTCCCTACAAGGATATTAATACCTGTAAATTTTGACCTTGTGAGGACATTTTTTTGTCCCAATGAGGAAATAAACTTATAAATCATACAGCATGATGTTTTTTGCAAGTGGAAAAATTTGTGTGAGGGGTAGGTTTAGGGTAAGTGGACAGAAAATACAGTTTGTACAGTAGAAAGTCCATTACGCCTATAGAGAGTCCCTGTAAAACATGGAAACCAGTGTGTGTCTAACCTCAAGTTGAAGTGAAAACATTGATTCACGTTGTAACAAGGCAATTTAATCGAGGAATTCCTGGAATGTCACACGAACTACTTCAGGTGAAAAAATGAGCAGAAATGTTGATCACCATGGTAACTAGCCTACTGCACAATATGCCATCATCCTCGTGCCAACATTTAGGGCAAAAATACCACCTTCATATACGTTCCCAGAAAAGGAAGTGTAATGATTGTACAGCAGCTTGTCACTGAAGTAGTACCCTATCTTCGTACACTATTTACCCTTAAAAGGTTCATAGAAGTATCTTAAATGTATAGTGGTACCATATTGCTACTCTTAAGGTACTAATATGCGCATTTAACGGCTTCAGTGACGAACTGTTGTCAAAGCTTGTTATATGTAGCACAGTTCTAAAGAGGTTTTTTACATAAATTATTGATGAATCAGATAATTAATGAACTCACATATGATAAAGTACATTACTATGTAATCTTAATTTCACTTAAGTATTTGTGTGAAATATGAGTGCATTTCTGTATGATCAAATTCATTTCAATTAAAAAAAAAAAAAAAAACCCTGAGCTTCTCATTTTGGTAATGCTTTGAACGGAAAAATTTATATTTTAAATATAAATATATATTTAAATATATATCATAAACAGAGCTGTGTAGATTACTTACAAACTGTAGTCAGTTACTGATTACAGATTACACAATTAAAATTTTAGTTATTTTAGTCATTTTAGGTAATGAATTCTGAGTACTTTTTAGATTACTCATAGATTACTTTTTATTAATCTTGTTTTAAATTTACCATTAAAAGTACCATATTGATAGAAAAAAAAGAAAATATATTCCTTGAAATATTTCTTTCTTTCTTTCTTTCTGAATATGGTCAAAGCTGAATGGTATGACACACAGCAGGATTTTTAGAAAGGAAAATTTAAAAGAGGAAAAAAGAAGAATTAGGGAGAATCAATAAATTATGAATAATGAGCATTTTAAAATGTAATGATTGTTTATGCATTATTACTGATTATGCTATCCAGATTACGTGTATTCAGTTACTATCCAGCTCTGATCGTAAATATATACTGTATATATCGTTTTTAAATCTTTTTTCCCCCTTCCCTTTTACTACAGGGCCAAACTCTTTAGAGGGAAAAAACTGAATGGAGACTATGATATTACAGTTGAACAGGTGAGATTATGAAAGTCACAAGACAAATGAAATCAATCAAAGTATTCGTATTAGCTGAGTTACTGCCTGATTGGTTTTGTTTTTCAGGCTGAGTTTGGAGACATCAGTGTTGTGGCTCATGCTAATGGATCATGTAACGTGGCTGTGCAGGTTCTGCAGAATGAAAACACAGTTGTCAGGTAAACTTGCATTTAAAAATCACCACAAGCTGTTCGAATTGTTCCGCTACATTAAAGTGCAATTAATGCTATACCTTAATGTGCAATAGCTATTGTATATTGTCTAAAACTGTCAGTGTCTGTGATATAATTTGCAGTGGCAGCTCGTGGGTTTTAAAATAGAGGAGGCACACTAATTGTATTGGTCTGGGATCCCTGCCGATTATTATTATTATAATTTGCTTAACCACTTTAAAATGGCTTTTTGGTTGCTTTTAGTCAGAAAACGTACATACAGCAAGATAATATAATTTCATTTACCTGGCCTATCACTTGAAGTAAACATCCATCCATCTTAAAAGTCTGTGTTAAAGAGAGCTGCCTGTTGCGCCATTTAATTAAGCCGACTGCTGTAGCCTATATCCAGCTTAGGCTGTTTTCCCTAAATTTGTATATATACTGTTTGAATGACAGCTTGGTAAATCTGTTGGCGATCAGATATTCAATATCGCTACTCATCATAAGTACTTGGTACATTATCAGCGCAGCAGCAGACGTTCAAACTAATATCACGTAATTTACGTCTCTATGATGATTGGTTGATATCAGAAGGAGGCTAGCCTCCCTTGCAAGGGTTCTTTTCTCAACACTCCTCAGCGCTGAAAGTGAACACTCGATGCTGATTGGCTAATTTTTTTTTTTACCAACGGAGGCACGAGAGCTCAGCTCTCCCCTTCTCTATCATTAGCGGTTGCAATTACATCAGTAGATTCGGCACATTCACGATAGAAAAGTGGTGCTTTCACGTTATGGTATTACAACTGTGAAATTACAAACAAAAAAAATACACATTCTGAGACATTAATTGTGAATTTTATTAACATTAAATCGTCCTCCTCCCATTTTCACCTCAAAATTATGGGGAAGCGGTGCCTCCCCTGCCTCCCCCGACGAGCTGCCACTGCTAATTTGTTATTGTGTACAATAACAGCCAGCAAACTTTGTTAAACTTCAATCAATATGAAAGCTAAATTAGCCCACTTGGAGAGATCTGATTTGATGTGTCACACATGAAAGCTATATCATTATACTGAGATGTAATAAAGGACAATTGTAATAAAAGCCCTTTCACAGTGATTTGAGTGGCTTGTCACCGAGACAATGTTTCTGTGTAATTACACAAATGGCCCATGAATGTACATCAATTCGGAGTCTTCAGAGGCACATTCAAAACACTAAAAGTCTAAAATGAGACATTATAGCGTAGACCTTAGTCAGGGTAGCACCCTATATTTACTTTAAATAGGATTGAAAACGAGGCTGTGAGGGACTTTTACAGTGTGCTTAACAGATTGAACTGTTGTTAAAACATGCTGACTGTTCAGCTGTAAAGACTGTAAGTCTGTCCCTCACAGCCTTGTTTTCATCCGTTAAATTCAATATGGCATCTAATCTTATTAAGGTCTATTATTGATTATCAGACGTATTTAATTAAATATGAAATCTACCTCTGTTAGACGTGTGTAAGTGCCATCATACCCCGCTTCCACACCAAGTACTGAATGAGCCTGAAATGTCCTGTCTGCAGGAAACATCTCTGTATGGAAATAATAATCCTTGAGGTCTACTGATGTAAACCAGTCTCTGGGACGATGTTCTAAGTGTCAGTATTTTGGGGCCTGTCCGAATACCCACATTTGCCGTCTTTGACTACTTGTCTACTCACATTACATATTTCCTGTATTTTCCTGTATTTTGTAAGTGTTCAGCTGGGCATGAAGATCACAGGTGTGTGTAGAACCTTTCATTACCCGATGGGACATATTTATAGTGTTGTAAAAAATGCAAATTACAGAGCTTTATTTTGATTTTTAAAACTTTACATTTTAAACTAACATTAACAGATTGCACAATTTAGTAATTCTGGTGCTTCTAATTAAGTGATAAGAGCAGTTGCAAATGATGCACGATGGGAGACCCTTAGCCTTGAATACAGCTCTGAAGCATGGATTTAGTGTGCATTAAGGGCACTGCGCTTTGGCATATTTAAGACCAGTCTTACTTCCTGTTGCATGCACATGCTTTAACGTGGCCAAGACCGCAAATGTAGGTATGTGGAGCAGGTGAGCACAATTAGTCAAACAAGGACTAGACAACGACTAAATGAGGGAGCGTGGTAAAGGAAAACAAGGAGGCAGGACAAGGGAAGCACATGGCCAACATAAAGACAGAGACATGTGCTCAGGCTCAAAACAAATATAGAAACATTAAACAAAGACAAAACAGAGCCCTGACACCTTTGCTCTCTTCTTCTAATATCTGAGCTGATTCCACATGTGCTACTGGCATAACCACTCCATTGAAAATTGGAGCATGACATGCTTCTCTATTGTGGATCAAACCCACAGTGATTGGTCTCCGCTCCTCCTCATTTACTGGTGTCACAGTGGTCTATACTATATCTCCCTGCTGGGGGGGATGGAGAATAAAAACCCCAGTGCTGCTCTCTGTCCGCTTGAGGTGTACAGTTCATGTCCCTACAGAGCGCATAGCATGTTTTCCCTTCACCTGAGCTGGTTTGGCAATGACCGCAGTAATCACAGTAGCCTCTCTTTGACTGTTGCGTGAAGTTTCACACGAGCAGACTGAAAAGGTCTAGCCCCAGTTCCCTCATACTGTATATCTTGAATATCCAGCCATGCATAATCCTTAACAGGCACACTGTGAGATAAGGTTTGTTTGCAGTCTCCACAATACATACCGGGACATCTGAAATAAATGGTTTAATCCGTGTGAGGTGTGATTGGCAGCCTTTTACCATCATAGAGATCCTTTCTGCTTCTTGGCCCGCCTGTTGAGAGGGCCAGTAAATGGAAAGTTGTAGCAGACCTCCACAAGGTTTAATTGGACAGTAGGTCTCAACTCTGGATTTTACATTAACAAGCAAATTATTTTAGAGGATAGAGTCATTTTCCTCATCTTCATCATCGTCGAGAGGTTCACTCTAGTAAAAAGACTGGATTAGTAGTAGAGATTAGTGCAACATATACAGCCACATTGCTAGTGTTGGGAAGGTTACTTTGGAAATCTAATAGGTTACAGATTACAAGCTACTCTATTTAAAATGTAATAAGTAATGTAACTATTTAAATTACTTTATTAAAGTAATGTAACTTATTACATTTGATTACTGTTACATTTCTAATGTTTTCAACTGTTAATCATTTTCAAACATTTAAACACATTCAACTTTACAGCAGCACTCAACACTGATTACTGTCGGACTTTCAAAATCTTGAAGTAAGATTATTGTAATTGAACTTTAAAGCACAGCCAGCACAAATCAGAACTTTGAGATCATTCCGAGGTTAAATACAGATCATAAAATCATTAAAATCATAACAAGAAATAGTTTAGTAGCTATGATACTGTTTTTGAAATCAAATCTTTGCATAGCTATGACAGGAAACACTGATATCTATGCCTGGGAAAAACAGTTAATCTGAAAAATAAAGCATCTACATAAACCCAAACAGGAAATAAAAGAGTTATCTAATAAGCATGTGTCTATTCTCTGTCCTAAACTCCTGAAACACTGGTGTCTCATATTTTAGAGCACTCAGTGCAATTTATGAAAGAAATCAAATCAAATCTGTATGTGTGAAAAAAATTCAGATGTAAGCCCCTTTGTAATCGTTAACACTTTCATAAGTAACTGTAATTTAATTTCACATTCTTTCTCAGTAACTGTAACTGATTACAGTTACATTTATTCTCTAATTAAATTACGTAATTCCGTTACATGTCCCCAACACTTCACACTGCAAAGATGACTCAGAAAAATGACTTTCATCTAGATATGTGTGTGATCTATGCCCCTACAGGTCATTTAAGCCTGACTTTGTCCTGATCCGACAGCACGCTTACAGCATGGCAGAGAATGAGGATTTCCGCAACTTAATCATCGGACTGCAGTACGCCGGTATTCCCAGCATCAACTCCCTGGAGTCCATTTACAACCTCTGTGACAAACCCTGGGCAGTAAGTTTGAGAATGGTAAATCTGACATGGCATATCATTTGATAGATATCTGCTCCAAACTCATCTCTCCAAACGTATCTGCAGTTTGCATGTCTGATCAGCACATGCAAGAAACTTGGACAGGAGAAATTCCCAATAATTGAACAGACGTTCTATCCCAACTATAAAGAAATGGTAAGAGATCGTTCCATAAACATTTTCTTCCAATGATGACTGTATCTGCATAATTAAATAAACAAATACTCTGTTTGTGGGGAAACGAACCAGGTGGCCATGCCGGCATTCCCTGTTGTCGTGAAAATCGGTCACGCTCACTCTGGTGTGGGGAAGGTAATGTTTAAACTGAAGCGATAACAGTAAAAGAAGCATTGCGTGCTCATGCAGCTAAACTCGTAATCTAATTACATGTGTTGTTAAGGTGAAAGTGGAGAACCACACAAAGTTTCAGGACATAGCGAGTGTGGTGGCCATCACTCAGACCTACAGCACATGTGAACCATTCATCGAAGCCAAATACGACATCAGGATTCAGAAAATAGGAAATGATTACAAAGCTTACGTGTGAGTACCGATGCTAGTTTGTAGTTTCTGAACACATCTCAGATTTAGCTGAATGCTGTTCTTGACAGATGAAGAATGCTCCTCGTTTCATAGGAGGACGTCAGTCTCAGGTAACTGGAAGTCCAACACTGGCACTGCCATGGTGGAGCAGGTGGCTATGACCGACAGGTAACCCACGCAACAATGGCACCATTTAAAGCATCTGCTTTCAGGTAAGCAAATATGCTTCAAGCATGACTAAGCAAGTTGCATTATTTTGCAGGTATAAGCGTTGGGTTGACACCTGCAGTGAAATATTTGAAGGCCTCGAAATTTGTGCTGTCAAAGCTATTCATGGAAAAGATGGAAAAGATTACATTACTGAGGTATGTGCTATGCTTTTGCTAGTTGTATATATGTGACATGTGATATGTTGTAGTGCTGAGATGTTATGTAGATGTTTTCTTCTACAAATTCAACCACTGTGTTGTATTCTCTATGTAGTATTACTAATAACTGTGGTAATTTCATAAGGTAATGGGCTCGTCTATGCCATTGGTGGGGGGACATCAGGCCGAGGACCAGCAGCTGATAGCAGACATGGTCATTGCCAAAATGAATCATGTTATGGCACAAAATCCCAAAAGACCAACTGCTATTCAACCAAGAAAGGTAGCTAATGTATAACACATTGTAAAAAAAAACTGACCTATCTAACAAAATAAGAAAATTTTTTGCTTAAGTGTTTTTCTTTAAAGGCTAATGCGACCTTTTTACACCACAGACTGAACAAAATGAAGCATTGCTTGGTAATTGGTTGAGCTAGATTGGTATTATCTAATTGTGTGCTTAAATTTATTCAACCAAATTCATTACATACATTTCGAAGTTATCTGACATTATCAAGATTAATTTGTTCCGACACAGTTTAACTCTGAGTCTTGTCATATTTTATTACAATTTTCTAAACTATAGCAAATAAACTGAAAATGTGAGAAATGTTGAAGGTGTCTGAATAAATTTTGGCTTGACTTGACTTTTGGCCTCGTTAGCGCAGTTAGGCAGCGCGTCAGTCTAATAATCTGAAGGTTGTGAGTTCGAGCCTCACACAGGGCAGCATGTTAGGGAAGTTGTGGCCTAATGGTTAGAGAGTCGGACTCGTAACCCAAAGGTTGCAGGTTTGAGTTTCGTACTGGCAGGTGGGGGGAGTGAATGTACAGCGCTCTCTCCCACCTTCAATACCATGACTGAGGTGCCCTTGAGCAAGGCACCAAACCCCCAACTGCTCCCATTATGGAGCTCATAAATGGCTGCCCACTGCTCCAGGTGTGTGCTCACTGCTGTGTGTGTGCACTTTGGATGGGTTAAATACAGAGCACTAATTCCAAGTATGGGTCACCATACTTGGCCACATGTCATGTCACTTTCACTTATTAGTACTTAATTTAAGCTTATAGAAATTAAAGTTTGAACTTATAAGTATGCTTTTTTAATGTTTTACTTGGAATTGTTTGTTATGTTTACAAGGATTCTTTGCCATGCATTATACGAGTGAGAGACTGCAACGGTTAAAGTTAAAAATCATCATATGTGTTCTAATGAAGAAACAAAGTCACCTACATCTTGGATGCCCTGGGGGTAAGCAGATAAACATCACATTTTCATTCTTGGGTGAACTATCCCTTTAAGTAAATATCAAAGTTATGATCCGGTTGTTCCCATCATGCACTGGGGCATGAGTAATTAATAAGGTTAACTTTTTCACTCTTTTCACTCATGAGTGTATGAGCAGATGTGCTTGTTTCTTTCAGAATGCTCTTGAGAAGGATGCGGTGGTTGAAGTAAAGCACGGCCCACCACAGAAAGCTCCTCCACAAGGCTGCTTGCAGTACATTCTTGACTGCAATGGTGTTGCAGTGGGACCAAAATTAGTGCAGGCAAACTAACATAACCGTGAAAGCTCGAAGCATTTAAGCTCCTGACAGGTTGTGTTCAAACATTCAGACAGTGACCTGAGGTGCAAGGGAACAAATAATCTGTAAGAAAAGTCTTAGTTTGGGCCTGATCCGTATTTCAGTCTGTACTGTGTAACTTTCACTGTTCTGCGCTTGTGGTGGTTGCTTTGTTTCTATGTGAAGCAGTTGTCTCTTCAGGGTTGTTGTGTGTGGTGATACAGCAGATTGTGCCTAGTGTTCAGTGCCACTCTTTCCTTGTACTTATTTTTTTCTTGTCTCATGTCTTGTGTTATGTTTTAGTAAATGGTGTTCAAAGAGTTACAGTGTGTGAGTGAGTGTGTGTACCTTGTATTCACTAGTATAATAATACTGGTAAATTTTGTCCTTGTGGGGACATTTTTTGGTCCCCATGAGGGAAACAGCTTATAAATCATACACAACATTTTTTGAAAACGTAAAAACGCAGAAAGTTGTGTGTGAGGGGTAGGTTTAAGGGTATGGTTAGGGCAATGGCATAGAAAATACAGTTTGTACAATATAAAAACCATTACATCTATGGAATAAACCCATAAAACATACAAACCAGTATGTATGTGTGTGTGTGAATGGTGTTAATCATACATGAATGGCGACTATAAAATATAAATGAACATTTAATTGCATGATCAAATGTGTGTGTGTCATTGTGTGTTAAAAAGTAAGGCGTGCATTTTCTTTTGTGACATCACTGTTGAAATAATAGATATCATACTGTATGCACTTCTAGTATTGTGAATGTGTTATAAAATATGGTGAAATGTATTTACCACAATGGATGAAAGCTATATTACTAAACATCAATCATTTTTTGTTCTTGTTACCAATATGATTGCAGAAATGTGATTACATAAACAATAAGCAATAAAAGTAAATCTCTGAACAAACAATGAACCAGTTAAGTGAATGTGCTTAACCTTCAGACAATGTTAACTGTCAACCTTAAGAGTTCAAAATAAAATTATATTGTTTAATTTCTCTTCATTTATATTAAATATGCAAACCTTGTCACCAAACTTTGGAATCTAAACTCCCCAATTTAAGAAAACTCTTTAAATAAACATCACAAAATAACAAAATAAATCACATTTATCTTTAAGAACTTGCAGTCTTGAAGTCTCTACTAATGAGCTGATGACCTCCATCAGGTGTGTTTGATTAAGAAGATATGTGAAATGTGCACTGTTGGGGGACTCCAGGAACTGGGTTGAAAACCCCTGCACTATAAAACCATTTAAACAGAGTGTCTAAAATTTGAAGATGGTTTCCCCAGGTATCAGAATATCACACTTCATCATCAAGATGTTTCACAACTGTCTACATAGCAAGCACTCTTTAATAGTTAAAACATAGTGGGAGTATTTTTCAGGCCAAAACCTATGACAATATATTGTACAAGCTCCCTGTCAGAAACTTTTCAACAAGTTGCCCCATCAGACCACCGAATGAAGGAATGCAAGCATCCATTATTGCTCTCGCTAATCATATTGGTAACACTTTATTTTGATAGTCCACTTTAGACATTCTACTAACAGTAAGTAGCTTTGCAACTACATGTCAACTATCAGTCATTAGAGTATTAGTAGACTGTCTGCTTAATATCTTCTAACACTTTATTTTGATGGGTCCACAACATACTGACTATGAGAAACTTTGCAAGTATATGCCAGCTTATTCTACTAACCCTAACCTAACAGTCTACTCTGAGAGTTAGTAGACATGTAGTTGCAAATTAATGGGCATTAGTTGACATTTATAGTTGCAAAGTTACTTATAGTTAGTAGTAGATGGTGAATCACCAGATTTGTTAACATTTGGGCAGGATCCACTATTGCCAGTTAACTTTTTATTGGGCAGAATTGAGACCAGAATTTAGTCCACTAGATTTCTGATAGTCAAGGCAGGCAGGCCCGAAGGTGGAATAAACAGATACAGTCTTCAACTGAACTATGTTCTTTTCTGGAAATTCTTTGTATTAAGTTTCAAAACATACCAAGACGAGGATCATAACCTGTTTAATTTATAGGCCCTCTTATGCTAAAATGGTAGAAGGGAGGCACTCATTAAACATGACTAGCATTATATATACATATCCATTCCATCAACAGGAAAAAGCAGATATGTGTCTACCACTGAAATGGCTTTAGAGACACTAATGATTTGTTAGTGACTTCTGATTTGGTTCTTTTTCTGTCATTATTCTTTTTTATCTTAGAGCCACTTTTGACAATGTTGATCACTCTGTTATTCACTCTGGCTTGCTTAGTTGGGGACACTTAATTTCCAGCGATATCGTTGACTTGATTGCACAGATACTATTAAACTGAACTGAGCTGGATGATGACATCAATGAATTCAATGACGAACTACCTTTAACTGAAAAATTAGTGTTTACTATTGTCACTTTGCATTATTGACACACTATTTTCCTAATTAATGTTGTACAGTTGCTTTGACACAATCTGTATTGTTAAAAGCTCTATATAAATAAAGGTGACTTGACGACCCGTCGTGAAATTGGTGTCCCGGCAACTGCTTTCAGATCTCAGATCATTGTCAGTTTGTCTCTCTGGGTGGATATAGATCTGAGATGTGTACAGGTCATTTTGGTGTCCCTCAAGGTTCAATTCTGGGCCCCCTTACTTTTTAGTTTGCATATTTTTTTTCTTTTGGTCAGTTTTTAAGATCACTCTTTCTTAATTACCATTTTTATGCATATGATGACACTAAGATTTACATTATTTAGAAATCTGGTGACAATAAGGGAGTCACTTTTTACACTGTGATGCCTCTTCCTTCAACAGAACAATGTATTTGTGTCCTCCACACACCCCTAACCCTACCCCTCACACAACACTACTAGCAAATTTTGAATTTCAGAAATCACTGTTTAAGTTTTTTAAAAGCTATTTGGTTTACAGGGACACATTCAGTCATTCGGTTCATCAATCACAAATTCTATAAATGGCCTTGTAGCAGCACAAAGCAATAGTATTTGGCTTTTAACAGACAGGCAGCTTCATGGAGATGAGTGTGAAGGAGTTGATGTCTTCACTCTGTGATGCTCTGTGCAGCGAGGGTGCTTGCTTGCTGCAGCAGCTCAATGGAGGACAGAATCTGTGGACACAGACGAGAGAAAGAGCACAAAGACGCCCAGAGAGAAGTGTGTGTCATTACTTCATCTGCCATGTCTCTCTTATTTACATTTTTATGTAGCCAATCAGAATTCATCAGTGCTGTGATAAACCATTTTAATGCATTAAGTGGAGGTAAAGAACCACCCAATGTGAACAGAGTGCATTAAAATTTGACTGGACGGACAAAAGGAAGTTAATTTATTGTTAGTTACTTTATCTAAGGGTCCCTAGATGTAGAATTCTAAATAAAGTAGTGCAGTAATATTACATTTATTTGAATAAATTTAAACGAATGAGAAAAAGAAATATTGGGTGTGTGTGTGCGCGCGTGTAAAATACCTATCAATACTAATAAGCACTGTTCACACCGTGAACTATTTTTATGCATATCTGATTGGAATCCAATCAAGTGTGAATGGTTAAAAAAAATATATTTTTACAAATTAATTTAAATAAATTACATGCTGGAAAACAAGCAGCAACTCTATAACATCACTGATTTTGCGTCATGTATGTTCAGTTAGATAATCTGTTAAATGAAAGCAAACACACCAGCGGGAAAAGCAGCCTCTCGTCCTTGGACTTCTCTTCATGGCTTTAGGACAACTCTTATAAAGCTTACTGAGGTCTGGAGACAGATATCCCCAACCAACCATATCAATTATCTGAATAAAACCGTATAAAAAGCTTAAGAAAGCACAGGGAACCACTGAAAATACATGCAATTAAATATTGTGTATTAACTACACAACAGCACAAGTCTTTTATTGTGGGACTTGTTTAAATAATAGCTAACTGTCTTCAATAGACTAAACTTGTAAAGAGTCAATCCACTGAAGGCGAGCGTAGTGAGAACCCAAGTGCAGTTTATTTACAGAGTGATCCAAACAATAATCCAAGACACAGACTTGACTTGAACAGACATAGCATGAGCAGACTTGACACAAACAGACTAGACTCACCAACAGCGGGTTAAATACATTCAATACAGGACGAGGGCACAATGGGAACATGAAGCTACTTATAGCAGACAAGGAGGGTCACATGACATGAACAAACCAATGGGGAACAAGACACATGACTTAAGATTACCAATCAGAACATGACACATACACAAGGCAGAGAGACATGAGGCAAGGGAAGCATGACACTAACATCAGGAAACAATTACAAAATAAAAGACATGGACAACATGAACATGAAACAAAACACCACATTACAAAACTTTCTCATAATCTTTCTCATAATTCACACAATCTGCCAAAAACACATCCAGATCACATTTTGATCAAAAACCAAAGAAAATAATTATAATAATGATAAGAAGAAGATTAGATTTTGCATGTCGATTCTCTTTTTATATATTCTATTTTCTTTATTTTTTACATTTTCATTGTGACATTATTTTCATGACAATTAAGCAAAAAAAAAAAAAACTATTGTCAAGACAACAGGAGCTAGACACTTTTGTGAGATTCACCCAACTACTGAGGTGAAATGATGCAGAATGAAAGAAATATGTGTAGAATACTAGATTTAAATAACGCCTGTAGCTTCCTAGTAACCGTTCAGACCTTGATTAACTTGTTCAGGTGTGTTTGATTAGGGTTGAAGCACTACGACGTTAATAAATCATTAGCTCATCCATGAACACGATTTCTGCCCGAGTCCTGTCGGATTGCATCGGCTGTGCGGATGAAGACTACAACTCCCATGATTCCACACTCAGTCACGACGTCATCAAACTACGCCTTTGTCTATTTGTTTATTTTGAATACGCGCCCTCTAGCGGCGAAAATTACATATTGTGCCTTTAACTTAGGGAGGACCAGTCAAATGTCCTCACTAGTTGGTTGGCAAAGTATTTCACAATGTAAGCGAGGACATTTGGTCCTCAGAAGTATAATCAAAATAAGTAGACTCACACTCACACACAGGGCAGAGGTTAGGGAGCGAGTCCAGTGTGTGGTCTGTGGGGCCCTGATTAGTTTACGTGTCTAAATTTAGTCCAGAGGCACCACAAAACACGCCTGGTGTCAGACTGGGAGAGATACGGCATGCATGTTCACAAATGCATGCACAGTCACTAGCCTCAGGTTAGCCTCGTGCTTACTGAAAGGCTTGTGAAGCATTCGCTATGTGTTGCCCTCTACAACTGCAGATAAATGTAATATATTTCAAGTGAACTATTAAAATCCTAGTATAACATTAATAACTTGGGTAAACCATGTGCCTTGACTAAGTGCAGCTTGTTTTGCAGCCCTTCAGGTTTTGTGTTACCTGATCTCGGTTCGCTATCTGTGAGTAGGGCAGCTCCCCTGTCATTAATTCATTAAATCAGCGTTTGGCAGTCTGAATTAAGACCTGTCAAGTGTGCTGCTCCTTCTAACCAAAAACAGCTTGCTTAGCAAGATGAAAGCAGCTTATATTTTCATGCATACAGACCCATTTATACTGGCTACAAGAAATATCAGACATGATACTACAAAAACAGGATGTTATTTCCCAAATTAAATAAATGGCTGTTAGATTTATTTTGTATTTAAGGTGCAGTATGTAATATTGACAGCTAGCGGTTGAAATAGGTACTGCAGTAGGGATGGGCGTATCGATCCTGAAGTATTGATATAGCGATACTGGTGCGAGTATCATAAGTATTGATACTCAAATAAAAAATATCACAATGCTTATCAGAAGACAGAAAAAACATATATGTTTGAGTTATTTGAGTTAAAACAAATTAAAATGGTAGCCTACATAGTTTGTGCAATTGCATTTATTTAAATTGAACATTCAAAGTCCATATTGATCATGTTTTATTCTGTAATGTTAATATAATTAATAAATACACTGTCAGAATAATAAGGTTGCATTTTATGCGTGCAACAGCCTGTCACTGGCAGTCCCTAATGAAAATGAACCATATGGTTTTACTCAGTGATGGGCAAACTTGACCCT